AAACTCCTCGTTAGAATCATCCTTGACCTTGCTGGAAATGTGATGGCGACGACGGAGAGAAGTAGAGAGAAGAAAACAAGTTCAAGAAGTGAAAGTACGAGAAGAAGAGAAGAAAGGAAGGGGGGGGGGGGGGGGGGGCAAGGGAAGGGGGTTGGGGAGGGGAGGAGGTAGAGGAGGAGGTAGAGGAGGAGGTAGAGGAGGAGGAGGAGGAGGAGGAGGAGGAAGGAGAAGGAGGAGGAGGTAGAGGAAGAGGAGGAGGTAGAGGAGGAGGAGGAGGAGGAGGTAGAGGAGGAGGAGGTAGAGGAGGAGGAAGGAGGAGGAGGAGGAGGAGGAGGAGGAGGAGGAGGAGGAGGAGGAGGAGGAGGAGGAGGAGGAGGAGGAGGAGGAGGAGGAGAAAGAAGAAGAGGAGAAAAGAAGTCATGTTTGAGTCTCATCACTATAGCATGCTCTTCACAACTCACATGTCCTAGGCGAACTGAAATTCTCTTGTGCGTTCATCTCTGAACTTTCTTGAGTTTGTTCACACAGAAGGGACTGCGAGGACCTGGCAACAATGACATGCGATGTCAGAACTTGTGTTGGCAAGTATGAGCTAGAGGAAGGAGGGAGGACAATGGAGGGGGAGAGGTAGGAGAAGTCAGCAGAGGCAGGAAAAGGGAGCAAAGAGAGAGGAAGAGAGTGATACCACGGGTGGATAGTCCATGTGACAACAGAGGGAGGAATGATTTTCGCTTCAACTTTGTTTTCTTCCTCTTGCACCTGATCTGGCTCCTCCTCCTCCTTCACCTCCTTCTCCGCGTCGGGTGCTGTCTCTTCGAGCTCCTCACTGAAAGAGATTTGACAGACGATCTCATCAGACATGCTGTTCTTGTTCTCTTTGACTTCTTTCACGTTCTTTGACCTCGCCATCTCGTTCTCCTTGTCTTGTCCTCCCATACTCTTCCTCTTCTTCCACGTCGGCTCCTGCCCTCCCTCCCCTCCCTCCTCCTCCCCGATCGCTTCTTCCTTCCTCAGTCTCCTCTTGGCCTGCCTGACGAGGCCGGGGCTCAGGATGTCTTGGTCCACCTTCACCTTCACCTTGCTCTCGTCCGCCTCCTCCCATCCCCCTGCCCGCATCCTCTCCTCGAAGTACCGCACCCGCGCATGCACCAGCGACGACATTCTTCAGAGCAAACGTTCAAAAAGGCGTGTAAACGTTACCCGCCACTTCAGCCGGAACGCCAGGGTCCACCGTTCACCGTCCCCGGGACTCCGCCGGGCCGCCGAACGCCGCAGGCGGCCGGGCCGGGCCCGGCGCCGATTCGGAAGTTCACTGAGTCAGTCGGAACGCCTCAGTGCCTGGCCCGCTCAACGGTGGTGCTCAGTGGCTCCGAGCTCCTAACGTGACAGAAGGCCCATTTACTCAAAGTTAAGTTACAATAAGTCACTGCCACCGGACCGGGACGTGGGTCTCCCCCCCCATGCTTTTACTCAAAGTTAAGTTAAAGTGATTGTAGTCATAAGTGAGGTCACTGCCGTGAAGTTTTAGTTACCATGCCATCACTGAGTCACTTAACTTATTTAAATAGTACTAACGTCACTTGAAAATGGTACTGTATCCATTAAAATGATTATAATTGATACCGTACTTGACAGATGCTGCCAGTACTGTTCTATCTTGGAATAGTACTGATTTAAATTAACTTTGAGTAAAATCCAATCACTAAGTGAAACTTTGACTAAAGTTTATTAAAAATGACCATCAGTTGATGAGTTTAGATATTGAAAAGTCAGTTTCCTACCGGAGGGGTTCCACTGAACTCAAATTTCGAGTGAGCAATTGGAATTAATATCGCATCTTTTCAAAATTAGTAGAATCAATTCAACATATGAAAGCTAATTCAGTGGGCATTAAACCAACTACCCTCTCCCTGTACCACCCCACCTGACCATCAATCGACCTCAAAAACCGCGCACGCGATGCAGCGGAAGAGTCAAGGCAGGAGGAGGACGTTTGTCTGGTTTCTGCTGGGAAGCTGGGCATGTCTGCAGGCCGAGGCCGGCGAATCGTTAGCCTACTGTAACAGCTGCACGTTTCATAAGTCAGATGAGGGGTTGTTGTGGAGGGAGGGCACCTGTAACGGTGATTGTGGTATTGATGTTATATTTGATTATGGTCAAAAGAGTTTGCGTTTGAATTATCAGATACCGCCCATTCGGGAAATAGCCAACAACACTGTCTTCGATGGGCTCTACAGCTTGGAGTACCTCCTGCTTCAGCGCAACCAGCTGAAAAGTCTTCCAGCAGGGGTTTTCGACGGCCTTTCAAGCTTGCTGCAGCTATTCCTGGATCAGAACATTCTGGAGAGTCTGCCGGCAGGAATCTTCAGTCGGCTCTCCACTTTGCAGGGGCTATGGCTTTCCACCAACAACCTGCAGATGGTTCCTGACGGGATCTTCGACGGGCTCTCAAACTTGCAGAGGTTGTACCTCAACAACAACAAGATTTCCTGCATTTCTTCACAGGCTTTCACTGATTTGACTTCACTTTCCATCTTGGATCTAAGAGGCAACAATCTGACGTGCTACCACAAGTCTTGGCCTTCTTTCACTCAATTAGACGCGAATCTAGAACCGTGCCGAAACGAAACTTATTGCAGCGGAAGTGAAGATATCTCTTCCACCGTATTCACGTTCGAACCAAGTACAACCCTACTAGTATCCTCTTCCTCAGAATATTTTGACAGCACGACAGCTGCATTACTCCTAGCTTCAACTCCAACTGGAGCAACAGAGCGAAACTGGACTATGTACCCAGACTACCTCACCTGCAAAATACAGCATGAGTGGCAGGAGATCGTGGATAGTGAGCTTGCGATGAACTACACCATCATGACGGGTGGACTCGGGAAGCAGATGGTGGCTAGCAGGTTTGAAGTGTGGGTATGCAGCTACCGAGATCACTGCGCGAGGCCCGGAAACGCCTTCTGCTACGTATATGACGAGCAGGAGGAGTCTTTCATCCCATGGTGACGTGTCATTTGATTTGCGATCATGTATACCCGCGTTGAGTCTCATGCTCCTTTGCAGGGGTCTAGAGGATGAGCTTGTGCTCAGCTGAGTAGATTTTCGACGTGTGCCTTCACTACACAAGAATGATCCGGCTTTAGGAGTCGGACATGAGGCAAAGATAGAAATCTCGAAGCAAAATCTTTCCTTTTCCATGAGGATGAACAACATGGATCGTCGGGCTGCGGGTTCACAGGTCAAAATTGGAGGATTCAAGTTGGACCGAGTCATAAGCAGATACTACAAAAGAATGTCATCGTGTCTATCTTCAACCGTTGAACTTGCACAGTCCGTACTTGAACTTCCAAGTAGACTTCAGGACTTACAGGTCAACAATGAAATATGTGTATCAACTACAACGAACATGATGCTATTAGCTAACGAACATGATGCTATTAGCTAACGAACATGATGCTATTAGCTAACGAACATGATGCTATTAGCTAACGAACATGATGCTATTAGCTAACGAACATGATGCTATTAGCTAACGAACATGATGCTATTAGCTAACGAACATGATGCCATTAGCTAACGAACATGATGCTATTAGCTAACGAACATGATGCCATTAGCTCTGAACTGAGTCGAAACATTGACGACATATGACCGAACAACGCAAAGACTCTCAAGGCCGCAAAATCACTCGAACTCTTCCAACCAGGCTTGCTCGAGCTCAAGTCAACGCAGAATCATCCTTCCCTCTTCATCTGCTCGCCGCA